TCCAACCCGAGCTCACACGAGGTGGTCGCCTGGGTGAAGCGGATCCTCCGCGTGCAGAAGACGGGCCACTCGGGCACACTCGACCCCAAGGTTACCGGTGAGTGCGGTCAGAGGGAAAGAGGGTGGGATTTCGGTGAACGGCATAGTTCAGTCCTTGTTTCAGTAAGCTGATGGCATTATGGTTTCATTAATTACATCAGTGATGCTTATCTTGATTCTTATCTTACGTCTGATACTGCTCAGAAGTTTCTTGATTATCCGTTTATTGGACGTTTGTGGGATCATGTGCTTGATTATTCTTTTCCGTGCTGTTTGTGATTCTGCATTGCATTTGGCTGATTGTGTTCAATGTTTTTCCCAGGTTGTCTGATTGTCTGTATCGAGCGTGCCACCCGTCTGGTGAAGTCGCAGCAGAGCGCCGGAAAGGAGTACGTCTGCATCTTCCGGCTACACTCCATGGTCGATAATGTACAAAAGGTGAGCGAGCACATTTTACCATGGACTGGATCAGTATCGGTTCATATCATCATAACGGCGGCATAAGATAACACCCCTGCAGCACAGTCTCACGCCCGGCCTCCCTTTTGACTTCTCGTTGTTGCGCCCGCAGGTGACGCAGTGTCTGGAGCGGCTCAAGGGCGCCCTCTTCCAGCGTCCGCCGCTGATATCTGCCGTAAAACGTCAGCTGCGCGTGCGCACAGTGTACGACAGCAAACTGATCGAGTACGACCCAGAGAGCCAGATGGGTGAGTGGAGGGGCACACAGCCGAGGATGGTGATTGTACGAGTGCGTTGCCTTGCCGCAGAGATCGTTGGGGTTCAACGTACCGCCGACTCGTAATATTTTGCAGTTATTAATCAGGGTCCTCGTTTCGCCGTCCTTGTCTAATTTGCAAGATTGTGTGTACTCTTTATCCAGCCTCCGAACAAGTTTAGTGGTTCTAATGTAATGCAGCAGTATCTGAAGATGTAAGTTCTACAAACTCTCAGTCCGGTCCCGACCTCGATATGAAAGTGCGTTGCTCCAGCGATCACACCTTATCGAAAATGCCGTGTCTTCCTGGTTTTGATGGTGAATCATTTTAACCACAAACAAACTAGTCACGCAGAATATCCGACCTTCGTCTCATACGGTCCACACGCCGCTAACCTCGTCTCTTCTCCCGTCTACAGGTATTTTCTGGGTGTCGTGCGAGGCGGGCACCTACATCCGCACCATGTGCGTTCACCTGGGCCTGTACCTGGGAGTCGGCGGTCAGATGCAGGAGCTGCGCCGAGTACGGTCCGGTGAGTGACGCCGCCAACACGGAGAGGGGGGGGGGGGCTTAGACGACGGGGTATCGTGGGTAGATGGCGCCACCGATGTGGGTAGACGGTGGAATCTGCGTAGATGTTTTTAATTGTGCTGTAAGCGAATGACTGGTTATCATATTCTATAAAATATGACTGGATATTTTAGAGCTGCCAAGTTTGATGACTTGTCAGTCGTCTGCTCAAGTACACACTGTTTCGCGAACACGAGTGTTTTTTATCTGAAGCTCGTCGTCTGCTTAGACCGTGCAGTTCCGGTCGCTCGTCGCGACCCGACCCCTCTCCCGCCGTCCTCCCGCTGACCTCGTGCCCCCCACCCCCCCACCCGCCGCAGGTATTCAGAGCGAGAAGGAGGGCATGTACACGATGCACGACATCCTGGACGCCCAGTGGCTGTACGACAACCACAAGGACGAGTCGTACCTGCGCCGGGTCGTACAGCCCATGGAGGCGCTGCTCACCTCACACAAACGCATCATCATGAAGGACAGCGCCGTGAGTACGACTGTCCTCAACGACCGGCTTGTTCCGGCCGGTAGAGGGAGGAGTGTGGGTCATTTGATCGTCTTTATGTGTGCGGTGTACTCTGAATCAAACAGCAAAGCTGCTATGCTGATGGTGATCAAGTGGCTTAGTAGTGCTGTAGAGACGGTACAGCAACTGCTTTTTTATGCGTTTTATATGCTATCGTTTCCCTTTCTAAGAGGTCTTAATATGTTACGAGCTGCCGATAAACGGCTGTTAGATTACGCCAGTGAGTTTCTACTCGATATGCATTCTCCAATGCCCGTCACTACCCCTGACCCCGCCGCTAACCTCCCGGCCGTCGTCGTCGTTCAGGTGAACGCCGTCTGTTACGGCGCCAAGGTGATGCTGCCTGGAGTGCTGAGATACGAGGACGGCATTGAAATAAACGAGCAGATCGTCATCGTCACCACCAAGGGAGAGGCCATCGCGTTAGGTGAGTGGGCTCGGAGTCCCCGAGTCTCCGGAGTATCTGGACTCTCGGAGAGTCCGAGGAGAGTCAGACAGTCCCTCCAAGGCCCAGGAGCGGTCTGGGTACTCTTGAGAGGGTACTCTTCTGAGGTGTTCTGTGACTGCTAGCTGGTCTGAGTTTTACAGGGTTTATGATTGATCAGCGATAGGTTCCGTGCTACCCGGGAGTGATCTGTAGTCTGAGTGGACGTGCGTAATGTCTGTGGTAGACTTATCTGCCGGATGCATGGGTCCCTGGGGCGTCTTGTAGTGAATGAAGCTGCTAGATGTCGTTGGTGGCGTATCCAACATTGAAAAGTTAGGCGATTCCCCAGCGGATGTGGGATATTTGAGTGTAATTGGACTACAATTATCCCTAAATATAAGTATGTTCTGTCATGTTCATTCTTCCCTGAGATGAGATTTATATGCGATGTTACGATGTTTGCTGACCGTTATTTCCTGTTGCAGCGATCGCGCTGATGACCACCGCGACCATGGCGTCGTGCGACCACGGTGTGTGCGCCAAACTGAAACGGGTCATCATGGAGCGGGACACCTACCCGCGCAAGTGGGGCCTCGGACCGAAGGTGAGCGACTGAGCGAGGGCAGCAGCCACACTGCTCCCCGGGTAGCGGACATATCCTGACGGTCTTTCTTTTTTATCCGCGGAGATTTTCAACTTGTAAGGATTGTTTTAGTCGTGCATCGCCATTTTTGTTAGTTTTTGATAACATGTAAATTTAATTTGAAAATGGCTGAGTGGTGGAAAGTAAGGGTCCCAACTTTGCCAATCAACATGACAGCAAATCTATTAGGGTCGTCCTCTCATGTCATTTGCAGCGCAAAATGTTTTTCTTAGCGGAACTTTGTGCCACGTTCTGACCCATAATATGGAAAAAGCCGTGCTATGACCCGTCGACGCCATTTCCCTCAGGCCACATTGAAGAAGGAGATGATCAAGAAGGGCCTGCTGGACAAACACGGCAAGCCCACGGACAAGACGCCCAAGGACTGGGCCGTCAGCTACGAGGACTACAACGTTAAGAAGGAGACTCCCGTCGCGGAGGTGGAAGATGCGCCCGCGCCACAGAAGAAGGTAAGAGTTTGGTGTCGTGAAAAACGGCTGTCGTGCGAGTGTCGCACCAACTCGTGAAAGAGTTCATTATTCGCCATCCGTTTTCTGTTCAGCTTCTCTGCTTTCTACGTCGGGTTTCAAGTTAACACTTTCTAGAACTTTTTACGCAGCCCGTTTACACAAATGTGTGCATGAAGGCCTATACCCGTATCAGTCTTGGGCGTAAATTGACCTTTGCAGTCGGCGCGCCCAAATACCACAATAAACAAACCCGCATCAGTCTATTTATCTTGATTTAGTCGCGTCAGTGCAATCGCTAAGTTTGGCAGTGACCAGGGCACCTGCTAACTTGTGTTACCACGGCATTGATCTGACTGCTCTGTCCTATCGCAGAGGAAAGCGTCGGAGAGTGACGCCGACATGGACACCTCCGTAAAGCAGGAGCCCTCAGACGATGTGGAGGTAAAGAAAGAAAAGAAAAAGAAGAAGAAGCACAAGAAAGACCACGAAGAGAGCGAGCTCAACGGATCTCAGGCTGAGGTAAGTTCGGATATTGAATGTACTAGTTGAGCTCAAAGACCAAAGTAAATGTTTTTCACTGTCTCCCTGCGGTGTCGGTTAGGTATCTTTTGTCTGCGTGTGTCTATCTATCGATGTCCCTTCCTATTCCATACCTAATCTTTCAACAGCGACACCTTGGCTAATTTGACGTATTGGATTATTTTGGGTCAGTGGATCAGCATATTCGATTCTGCTTTTCAGGCTGCTTCCGAGGAAACCGGAGAAAAGAAAAAGAAGAAAAAGAAAAAGGACAAAAAGAGGGAGGAGGACGAGTGAGGGTGTCTCAGTGACTGTCCGGGTTGTTTTTCCGCAGTGTGCATATGTGGAACTATGTCGGGAACAGGGAACGGATTCCTGTGCCTCGGGCGGCTAGCGCCGGGTCATTTTTAGACATTTTTATGACCAGAATGTCAGGATTATCGGGCGGGTGGATTGCCACCCCGCTCACCGTTGCCGCTACTGCCGACTGAGCTGAGAGCAAGTGAGATGCGCCTGCGTTCCGTTGCCCGAGCGGGCTGTAAGAGAGCTACCCGAACTCCGGGGCGACGGGCCGGCCGGCGCGGCGTCTGCCATCGCCACACGAAAATAAAGCGTCATCTTCATACTGAGCGAACTGTTTGTGGGCAAAGTAGAGGAGATGGGATACTGGACGAATGGGGTGCGATTTTTAGTACAGCCCAGGTATCATCTGTCTATGTACACTGGTACTGGTCGGCCGTCGTCTCTCGTTTCCGGGTGAGAATGTTGACTGCTGAGTGCAGCCTTCGTATTAATTTTCGGTCACGTGTTAGCTGGCCACAAAAGTCATTCATTCGTTATCCTACGTGTTCGTCTCCATGAACAGAATAAGCTGTATTTAGAACACACAAGCATGAAAAAAGTGGGGCAGGGGGTGATTGTTTAGGCCAGATAGTCGCTGAAAAGGTCCGTAGTTGCAGCACCTCCAAAGCGGTTGCGTTTTTACCTACACGTGTTTGGTGAAATGTGCATCGAGGTGCCGATAGGTGATCCTTGCCCCTTGATAACTGCCTTCAAGCTGATCCCCATCCAACCCTAGCCCCAACAAAGCGCACAATATCTTTGTGCTGTTGTGTTTATTCACCCATGGCAGTAGCAAAAGTGGATCAATCGAGCGTATTCCGGGACCGTACCCGCACAGCTCACTCGTCTAAACACGGAGTGGGACACCGGGGAAAAAGCGGATGAGACATGGCCCAGAAGAAACCAACCGTACCTTTGCAGTGATTTCAATCGTCCCACAATCATCCACCGAAATAATTCGTTAGAGAACAGACATAACATCACTTCTAATGGAGCCATGGTGGATTACATTCAGCACTGGTGTGCCTGTCACCGCCGTTCCGCCGCGCTAAGCCGGTTGTTTCACTATCGCGAACGGTATCACTTTGCCCAGCGGCGGTGCTGACCGCTCGCAGCAGACACGACCTACATCCACCATCAATCTTCGTGGCCGAGGCGTGTCACCGTGGTTATACCACTCGGCCGTACAGCCCGCTCAAGTGGGGTGTCGAATATCACGCACGCATTGGTCCGCGAATCACCGCTGCAGACAGTCCACGTACCCATCGACCCCGCACGACCAGCGTGACGGGTTAAATCCTGCAGGCCCGATGCCTACGGTCTCCTGGGAGCGGTAATGTCACTGGGGTCTGGTGTGGCGTGGCGCAGGTTCGTCGGCTGTAGCCGACGGGTGGGTGTTGTGCTCTACGAAAGCAGGTAGTACCTGAAAAAAGAACATTTGCTAGATAAGCTCTCAGATGTCGAGGCACTATTGACTATACGCATACACAACACACAGTACGCACGTCTGGGTAGGGTGAACAGAGGCCATGCTATTCATACTAAAAGTGTGTTCATTTATTTTATGTACGTACAATAAGAACGAAATCGAATTGATCTGTGCAATACTTCGTAAATTTTACGGTTTGGCAGAAAAAACAACTCGCACCATCCCCTCACTGTTATTAGACGTCACTAGACATAATATTGAATGCTAAGCAGCCATCCTAGAGCGTTCAGCGGAATCGTCAAAGTTAACATGTCTTTCTTATGTAAGAGATTCTCAGAGTCCGCAGTCCAGGCCGCATCGGTGATCGGCTTTCAACATAAATAATCCGTGAACTTCCCCCTCCCCCCCATCCCGGTGGGAGGCCCCCATCCCCCCCAATCACCGAGTGAACAAATCGCCCACAAATGCCGACACCACTTACGGCAGTTTAATGCGCATGAAGGTGAAACAGCAGGCGAAGCTGACGAGGATGCAGGAGAAGCCGACGCCGATCAGCATCATACGGTTACTGCGCGGCGTGGCCGGGTTGTGGGTGCGGTCCAGCAGGATGAAGCCGAGGCCGCCCATGGTGAACAGGAACGACGACGCCAGGCCTTCCATGATGTACTGGCCATTAACTCTGTAGGGCAGGAATGCCACCTGCCAGGCACACATCTCGTTAGGCCAAGACACCTTTGCGAATGTCATTTGAAAGGCTATGGCAAATAAATATTCAGCATCAACACTGAACACAGAATGTTACATCATGAAGCCCTAAATTCCTGATTGTGAATGAGTGGAGAGTTAATCCAACTCCCAAGCCAGTCTTACCAGAATGGCACTTGGAATGAATGGGCTGACGTCTAGTCTGACCAAGGAGTACCCACCTATAAATTCATAAATTGTCAAAAGATCAAGAGGTTCTTTCCATAGATTTTCATAAAAAAATAACATAAATGTCACAGTATCTTCATTTCAGATCAAATAAAAAAACTCACAGGTTTTGAATGTCCTCGCTCGTCTGTAGTAGATCCGATGCTGGGGGGCTCGTTGATAACATCATAAATGATGCCTGTGGAACAGAACAAGCAGAGAAGCTGTTATGTTTTATTCCCTTCCTCAACTCAGTTTTCCTTCAGATGAGACCATGCAAGAACAAAACACAAACAAGTGCATGCTACTCATAAGATGTTCCATAAATTTCTTAGTAAAATCAAAATTGTAATAATTACTTGGCAGTTGGCATGCTTACACTTTTAAAACAATATTTTCAAGAAAATTGGGAAGTAGGAGAAATGATTACTGTAATATTAATGAACTACTTCTTTTGCTATTGTATTTAAAAAATTGATGCCAAATGAAGTGGAAAACAGCCTGACTTCAGAAGCTCTATCATGACATTGTCTATGGCCTTGACATTGTCCTACTGTTTTGTTTACGTTGACTCATTGATTTCCTGTCATCCACTCAATTCAGGATCAGGAGCCTCCTTTGATGCATTCCTTCCTAACTGGGTAGCTGAAGAAATTAATATTAAATACACAAGGCTGGAAACTTACCTCCTGTTACCATAAAATAAGAAACGAGGATGAATGCAAACATTTGCATTGCTGTAGGCTGTTTGAACCATGATGGCTTCTTCAGCTTAAGGTTGGGGATTTCTAGAAGCTTGAAAGGTAATGACACAATTGACTCCATGACTTAATAATATGAGATTTTCTGCAGTAGTTAACAACCCTAACTAGACCCAAATAATCACATACACAGGAAACCACTTGATACTGAAACCTGACCCAACCGGCGCCGGCTCACTGTTGACGTGTTGCGTCGCAAAGGAAACAGCTGCGTAATTAACGCTTCTGAAAACAAGAAGTACACAGTTAGCAAATTATATATGGGTTGTACATGTGAATTATATGACATTGTTATTTGTTATCTGACATCATCTTGCTTTTTTACTTTATTAATGCTAGAAAAATGTATTTATAAAAAGTTTTGTTGTCTCAAATTCATGAAAAACCTACCCAGATCCCTTGCGCTCTGCGGCAAAGGGGCTAGCCAATTGTCTTGTTGCCGCCTGTGCCATCGCCCATCACCATCACGACCAGTGGCGGATCCAAGAGGAAGGGGGGGGGGGGCACACGGACGGGTCATGTGACCCCTTGATTTTCATCAGCACTGTGAGGTCCCAAAAAGCCCCTCTACGTGCATTTTCGGAAATGGCAGTATACGAGATTCGTGCAGAAGGCGTATGCTCGTATATACTTATATAGGCCCTATAGTTCAGAAGCCATGTAGAACCGTTTTTCACATTCATTACTCGAGGATAAACTGCGCCGAAGGAATATTGCTAACATGTCTGTGAGTATCTGAATCGAACATATTCTTATTAGAAATGCTTCTTTTTTCATACAGCAACAAAAATGTTTTTGCCATTACAGACCCATTGGATCCATAGTTGCCCGTGTTACCCCAAACTCAATGTCAGAAGTTCAGCACGATTTTTCTCTGTGGACAATTTGATGCAGACAAAGCAAATCCGCGGTAAATGAACACCGGTGGCATATGAGTGTACCACAAGTGATTGCGAGTTTTTAACTCTATAGTGCTGCACACAAAAGCTTGCACAATATATTATGGATGTTTTCAATGAAATGAGTGTTTTAAAGAAATCAAATAAAAGATTAGGTATAGTCACTGAACACAAATTCACCAGACTTCAATGGTGGTGTGTAGTGGGAAAGGCAATTCTGGTCCTAATTTTTCTCGCTCGTAGCGCTATTGGTTTGGTCTGCAGAAGGGGTGCCCGTCTTACCTACCCTGACCGTCTTTCCCCACTTCCCCTCCTATGTATGTAGAGTGCGGGGCGGTACATATGTGATTCCATTACAACGGGCAGCGCGTCAGCTGCGTGGACGAGGCGAGCATCCTGGGCGAAAGATACCAACTTCTTTTACCTCCACAGACCACAAGGAGCACTGTAACCAGTCAGGGATGAGAGTATGGGTCCGTAACTGACGCAGGGAGAACAGCGGCTGAACGCCTCCTGACCGTGACCGACGGTACATCTGTGTGTGGGTTTGTGCATCCGTGTGGGGAATATTTGTCAGAATTGTAATGTGTGCATTATTGGTTAAGCTTATGGCTATGACCTCAAAATAAAGTAGAAGTATTTCGTGCTGTATCTTACAGCCACAAGACGACCAAGGTCAGCGTCAGGTCAGGTCACCTATCCAATGGTCGTCATATTCACCGTGTTAGTTTATTGCACGATTTTTCTTAAATATTAAAAATTGACGAGGCTCCTCGAAAAAAGGAAAAATATGAACATTGCTGACATGACCGCTGATGTAAAACGTTTCTACTGGATTTCATAGAAGTTTAAAAATGCAAGTCCGAGGTAGGCATTTCCGGTAGTATTTTTTTCTGGCACCATTCGATACTTCTTTATCATGGTTAATTGCTCTAACTTAGATGAATTCGGCCATCGGCAACACTTACCTAAAAACCAACCAGGCAAAAGTATTTAAATAAAAATTTGTTAGATTTACCAGTTAAGAGTACCTATATTGGGTTATGCGCATTGCTCGGGGAGGAAAGACGACTCGCAGGCGGTGTTTCGGTCTACCACAGATCGGAGATGCCAGCTATCGCCAGCAATCCTGGACTTACCGACATGATAACAAACAAGGAGAGACTTACTGCATTTGTATTCGTCCGCCATCACTCCATTCAGCATCGCTTTTCACGAGGCACACTGCTCAGTGCTCATCTGATCTCTCCACAACGTGATACGTGAGTGCACTGTGCACTGTGAAACCCCTTGACCCCTAGGTAGGTATACTCGTATGCCAGAGACGTCCGTCTCAAACTCGGAAAGAAAGCTCATTTCGTGAACCCGCCGGTAGATGGAGCTACTAGAATGCGCCTGAAAGCACGCTGCGCCGCATAGCTCGACTTATCTGAACTTGACGCATAACAGTTTACAAACGATGGCTCAATAGGTGAGCATCGTTACGGTGCTAACGCTAAGGAATCTCGGTATCAGCGCTTGCTGGCTCGCCTGTTAGTGACGTGACCAATGACCATTGATGCGATAATACTGGATTGGTGCCTTACCAGTTTTTGGCGACATTTAGCTCAGGCCTGCCATCTAGCTTACGATAATTATCTCGCGAGATGGCAGGCCTGATCCCAATGTCGCGGATCCGTTTTAACCTTCGCCGGACCTATCAAATTTTTCTACATACGCGCCGGCCGAGGGGGAGGGGTACGACCCCCCTCTCCATTTCTTCGCTTATGGAGCTAGAGCGTCGCGGAAAAAAAACGAGCATGGGCGCCGCTACGAGACGCAGCGACTGGTACCCAATTTAAAGGTTTCAGGTCAACCGGTGACCTCTGAGGTTAGGTCTAGTTGCCCAAGGCACGGGATCGGTTTTGATAAATACAAAACACGGTCACAGCGCCGCGATTTTGGCACCATCGTGTTTGTCTCGCTCAGGCGCGTCGAATAGTATATTTGTTTATGCGGAGGAGGTCATATCGCATATCATTCGATTCGGCAGGTCCTCCCGAGTCCATTGGTGATTTTCCCTATTCGCTAGCTTAATTTGCTCGGGAGTTATTGACGAAACACTATTATGATCCTAGTGATCCACTATTATGATACGTGGCGAGGTCACGTGACCGATCTGACCTCATGTGACCCTTAGGAAGAATCCGAGATGCACAAGTTATGAGACCTCTGGAGGATACTACGTCCTGTAAGTTTCAGCTCCCTGTGACAGTTCCTTTGGCACTGAGGGCGTGGCGAAGTTGCGACATCTTAGGACCGTGCAGAGGTTCATTTATGGCGTCATAGGTCAGTGACCTGACCTTATTTGAAAATGCGGCTTGTGTCGCAAGATCCGGCTTGAATTAAAGCTCAGGTATGCCAAATTTCAGCTCTCTTTCCCCGGCTGTTCAGAGCTATCACGAAAAAACGATGGGGGCGGCACCCTCCCCCCCCCCCCCGGCCGGCGAGGGTTAATTTCCAAGAGACACCAATCCAGTCTTAGCTTATGCATGACGTGACCAACGATTTAATTTCATGGCTAATTACTTCTATAATCCGTATTGCCATTTGTTTTGCACATTTGTTTTAGGATCTCCAAGAAGCCAATTTTACTCCCGTTTATTCACGATAGTGGTCTGATCAGCGACCAGCGTCATGAGTTCAAGATAATTAACCACTGGCAGCTTCAACGATGTGGGAGCATCTTCAGATCTTTTGGTAGACGAACGTGATGCCCTGTTTGACGGTCTCGAAGTACCTGTCGACAATGATGTGGGACACGCGCCGCCACAGTCCCCGTTCCTCCAGAGCCTTCTGGTAGTCCAACAGCCCCGTGTAGTCCTTCGAGATGAACAGAAACTCCAGCCGCATCGAATTGATGATGTATCCACCTGAACGGCAAAATTGGTGTCATGCGCTATAGATCTTACTTCATAACTCAATTAATTACAGGAGGAACCGTGATATTAACCCGCGCGGGGCAAAAAGTACAAAATCTCACTTATATTCCTAGCATAACCTATAGAGTATGAGCTATAGGAAATGTTGCTAGGATCTAAAAGCTGTCACAATCAACAATCTGTCACCAAACTATCAAAGCACACCTGCTGCTCTGCTGTGACTACCCGGGCACACCTATCGATTCCGAGCCGCACCTGGTTTGCAGACCCGAATCATTTCATCCAGAGCGGTCAGGGGGCAGTGGCCGGGAACGAACGCTCCTGCCACCACCACCAAATCGTAGGTGTTGTCCTCCACGTCAATGCGGTGGTGGCCGATCACATCCTGTCAGCATCGGAGATGGTTAACCCGCGCATCGACGGGGGGGGGGGGCGGTTACCCGCCCGCCCTGAGATTTTCGAAACTTCGCATGACTTTTCCCTCATCAATTTTACACATGGTGTGCATGTTTGAACTTCCTACCTCCCAAGGTCAGGTTACCAGGTCACTTCGAATGACCCAGCCTCAAATCACCTTTTTGCAACTTTGACACCGTGTCAGACCTACTGTAGATGACGGAGGGCCTTGAAAGTCGCAGGAAGTAATGAGGTTATTGATGGCTACAATTTTTTTATCTCGGAATTTTGATATCGATGACCTAAAGCCAGTTCTTCACCTCCACATTACAAGTCAATGGGGGAAAAATCACCCCCCCCCCTTTTTCAATTAAAACGCGTCGGAATGGCCCAACATACCATGAATGACTTCATATACCTACTATCAACCTTGACTACCTTGAGGCCTTTTTGCCCTTGGGCAGCTGTAAGGTCATGTGACGTCATCAAGGGTCACCAAAGGTTTTTTTGCTAAAATCTCCTTACAGGATTAACCCGCGACCTGGTGGGGGGGGCTATTTTTTGCCCCCCCCCCCTCCAGACTTTTCGATATATCTCCAGAACCGCTGCGCCGATCGTCATCAAACTTTCAGTACCCTCCCGGACATTAATTTTACACATTGTGACCAAAAATTTTTCCAAAGGCTATGATAGGTTGGCCGGAAATGACGTCAGAGTGACGTCATGTTCTGCCGTTTTCGACCCAAAAAAGGGTTTCGCGGGAAGAGCTGTCAGGCCTATAGCTTTGCAAATACAGAAATATGATAAGGACATAGAAGCTGTAGAATTGACAGGGCTACAAAACTGCTATCTCGGATTTTTGAAATTTTTGGATTTTGACCCCCAAAAATCAAAAAATATTTTTTTTTTGGATATTATAATCGAAAAATCCAATTTTTTTTTTGGAATTTCGCAAAAACCGGAATATATGTGATAGTCCTTACCGCCTCCCATCCACATACCAAATTTGAGATTGATTCCTCTTTTTTTGCGAAGTTATAGCGAAAAAAAAAACTGTTCAAAATTGATGACGTCAAATTTTCAAACTCAATTTTTAGCAATTCTAGACCCCGTAGCGCAAAACAAAGACCACTATTAGACTCCCCGTGACGAGCTGCATCGAATCATAACCCATTTTATGCAAAACTATCATTTTTAAAATTTGACCTTTTTTGGCCTGACCTTGACCTGACCTTGGCCTGCACTTCACCAGAAAGTGACCTAAGCCGTACCTGATAGTCTTATAACCAACACCATTGAGTTGGAAATGAAAAATTGGCCATAAAACATGCATCACACAACCTAGTAAAGTTGGGCTCATGTGACCTGACCTGTGACCCTTGGTGACCTGACCTGTTACCTGACCTGGTATTGTCAGTGACCTCTAATAGCAACATATCTACTAGGCAACTGACGCCCTATCGCTGATTCTCGACAAAATGCGTTTTCCTCGGTGTTATAGCGCATTCCCTAGAAGACCCATAGGCGCGGGAGCCGGGGGGGCAGTGGGGGCAGCTTGCCCCCCCCCCCAACTCTGGGGCCGTGGGGGCAGTGCCCCCACAGCTTTGAGACGGAATGCCACACTTTTTTTGCAAATGTTTTCTTTTTTTGTTGAAAAAGCCGAGGGGTGAAAAATAAGTGGCCTAAAACCGGTGAGAAAACTAGATTTGGGGGTACCCTAGGTTAATCTCTATTATGGTGTGCCCCCCCAGTCGGAAAGTAGTTCCCGCGCCCCTGAGAAGACCCGTGAACGGTGAAACATTTTATCTTTGACGTGACCTGTGACGTCATCGGTGACCCCGAGGTCAATGAAATTTGGTTTCCTTCGACAAATTTGACAGGCCTTTCGAACGCCGTTTGAATTTTGCGGATCCGTCCAGTAGTTTCGGAGATACGAGGGGGGGGGCAAAAAATAGCCCCCCCCCCACCAGGTCGCGTTATAAACAGACCCCACCAGGGCGCGGGTTAAGATACAGCCGCGCAGATGGTCTCATTGTGTTCAGCTCGTCAAGGTGCATCGAATGATATACAATTAGGTATACACGAAGACCTTGAGCTCACGTGACCTGAGGTCAACCTTTGACCTTGACCTTTCTAGGTCAACTTGTATACGATTCGATGCGGATTGACCAGAGGATCACGATGGTGCCATTACATAGTTAGTTCCTAGTTTAGCTACTTCGAAAGTTATTCGAGAAAAACTCTTCATTTCTAGCGCCGCCATTTTGACTTTTTACCCCTGTGACGTTATCTTTGACCTGACCTGAAAATAACCTGCGTATAAATTGATTATAAATTGTGGACTTTTCCATGCGTATCCCATGCCGTTTACCGCTTGTCGCTATCTTGCTTCGTTCTCGAGATCTCAGGGGGGGGGGGCGGTCAACCGCCCCCCCCCGTCGGTCCTAAGTTGGCGCGGACCCCCGTGTCGGTGCGCGGGTTAACGGACTTATACTGTTTTTTTATCCCGGTAAAAAGTGCATGCTATTTAACCCTCGCGGGGCTGGGGTCTCCAGCCGAACGCGCGGGGCTGGGGGGGGGTAAATTTTACCCCCCCCCCCCCTGTTATCTCCCGAACTAATGGCCCGATTTAGAAAATTCAAACGCCAATCGAAAGATCTCATCAAGAACTACTATAAACATGTACTTAAAGGAAGGGTGCCACCTTTTGGACACAACGCAGTTTTTACAAGATTAGCCTCACATGAACCTAAAAACCGGCTTCACTTACCTATGCTCGAGACGGTCAGCATTGAATCCGCACGTGAAGTTATCATTTGCGAGTTTTGCTGCCAGCATTCGGGCAGGCAAAAATCTTCTGCACTATTTCCTCGTCGTGTTAAGGGTATTTTATAAAACATGAAATCAGCAAAGGTATGTATAAAAGTTATACTTTTGAAGCATGTTTTATCATTTTGAAAGGGTATATTTTTTCTTTATGGTATACACTTAAGTTTTAAAATTTTAATTGGGAAGTTTTTCTAGTAAGTTGCATGAAGGGTGAAGGGTTCCATAGATCTCTTAAACATTGTAAAGGAAAAACCTTTACTCGACTTATTTGATGTATTTATTTGATGTATTTATTTATTATTATTATTATTATTATTTGATGTATTTATTTGATGTATTTTATTCATGTATTTATTTGATTTGATTTTTGTCTCAGTTGCGCCATCAATGCAAATGGCAGAATGATATGTTGCCATGACAACAGGATATGCCAGCCGTCCTAGCTGCCACATCAAACGACCTTGAGTTGTAGTGGTGATATAAACAACGATCTTTTTTTTGGCCAATGTATTAAATGCAATGTTTCGGTTTTTTGTATATTGTGGACGCGCTAACCACGTCTAAAAATTCAAATAAGTAAAATAGATTCATAGAACAAAAATTTCGGAAGGTGGCACCCTTCCTTTAATTTAAAGTTTGAGGTCAAGGTCAGGTCAAGGGTACAAATTGCAAGTTTCTACAGTATCGGCCTTGCACCGTAGTGCCGAAGAATGGAGTCATGGACTGAGACTGATTGCCCAAACGTGTTCTTAGGCTACCAAGACAATATTCGTTGCATACAATATCATTCAGAGGTCAAGGTCAAGGTCAGGTCAGGTCAGGTCAGGTCACCAAAAACAAAATATAGAAAAGTGCATGTGCGACACATGTTTTATGGGTCATTTTACTCATAGAATTCAATAGGCACACTCAATAAGTGATATGGATCACCTCTGGATGAATTTCTGGTCGAGGTCAGGTCAAGGTCAGGTCAAGTGAGGTCAAATTTTGAAGTTGGTTGTTAAGGCCTAAAAAGGTGTCTATCTGATGCAGTTTTTCACGGCGAATCGAATTGTGCTATTTTTGTTTCCGTATGAGGTCTAGAACTTCCAAAAAAATCATTTTTCAAATTTTTTGTGTGTCGTGACGTCATAAAATGTTTAATAACTCCCACATTTTTGAACCGATTCTTCTAAAAATTGGTATGTATGTGCACATAGACCACTTCTCTGACATATATTCCGGTTTTTTCGATACACTCAAAATTTCGGACTTTATAGTTATTTTCCCAAAAAAAAAAACAGTTTTTTGGATAAAATTGGGCCAAAATCCAAAATTTTCAAAAACCGAGATAGCCATTTTATAGACAAAGTAGAATTACGTATAACCTTTTTGTTACGTCTTGATTTCTTTAAAAATGAAGATGTTAGCGGCGTTTGAAGTTTTGCCGTTTTTGAGGCGAAATCAGTGGCGGATCCTGGGGGGGTCCACGGGGTCATGACCCCCCCCCCAAAAGGTCTGAGTGGGTCATTTGACCCCCCCCCCCAAAAGCCGAAGACCTAAATGCGTTATAGAAGCCGTTTTGTATGCTCAAAATCACCTGTCAAACACTTCTGAGCTAATACTTTTGTTTTTCTGGATCGTGTTGCGTGAAAAGGCGTATTGAAAGCCAAAATCTTACTCGTTTTTGTCTCAACCGTGCGAGCACCAGGGGATGATCCAGGAAAACTCCAAGGGGATGCAGTCATGAATTTAATTCGTGGTGCCCCTACCTATACCCAAAATTAAAAACTCAACGGAATCGGCCATTTAACCCTAGAACGCCTAGGGGGGATTGTATCACCCCCCCCCCCTGAGGTTTTTTCGAAGTGCACGCTAAACGGCTTGTTGTAGCGGGCTGAAATTTTCAATACCCTCTGGGGCAACCTTTGCGCATCTTTTGCCGAAAAAAATTGATCGGGTCATGTCAGGTCACGGAGTTATGACGTCATAAGAGGTACAGCCTCCGGCCGGATTTTCACAAACTGAGTGCCAACGCCCGAGGTTTCCTGCCGGTGGTACGGAGATCGGTTGATGGATCGTGATGAAACTTCCCATGCATGTTGAGGCAAGTATTGGCTATCATATGGTATAAGAAATTTGACCGGGTCAGGTCAGGTCACGGAGCTATGACGTCACAAGAGGAACAGCGTCCGGTACTATTTTTGAAAAGCGCCCGAACCACTATTTTGCTAATTCTTGTCACCTCAATGGGAATATGCAGCAATATTAGCTTCTATAGGGAGCAAATGGACCTCCCAAATCCAAAAATACAATCAGATTTCAAAAATTTAAATTTTGATTTTTCGAATTTCTGCCGCCGACTGTGACCTTGCCGACTTCCGGCGCTCCCAACGCGCCATTTTTAGAGCTAGGGAAACGAAATACATACCAAACGATAGAGAATTGATCAAGGAACACGATAGTGAAGGTTTCAAGTCGATATCTCCCACCGTTTTGCCGCAATCGCCGCCGAAAGTTGAAAAAAGTCTATTTTTCCGAAAATTTGACCTTTGACCGGTCAAAAGTAGGTCAAATGCTGGCCTAGGACCAAAAAATATACCACCAATCGCGAGATCTCGTTGAGAGCAATCCGTTGGTTTTTTCCGCTTAGCTCTACGACCTTTCGTTTCGAAACGCCAGGGGGGGGTCGTAACAACCCCCCCTGGTCGTTCGTGTTATGAGAAATGGCCTGGTCGTGCGAGGGTTAATTTTGGTGATGTCCCATTTCCATTTTTTTATTGTTTATTTTATTTTTAGTGCCCCTGGGCCCTGGCAGGCCTGTGGTGCCCCTGGCGGGCCTGTGGTGCCCCTGCTAGGCCGCTGGGGCCCCTGGGCCATGACAGGACTGTGGTGCCCCTGACAAGCCTGAAGTGCCTCCGCTCCGACAGGCCCGTGCCCTGTGGTGCCCCTGACAGGCCCATGGTGCCCCTGCGAGGCCGGTGGTGCCCCTGGCAGGCCTCTGGTGACCCCTGAGGTGCCTTCAAAAGAGGACGTGTGGCCATCAGAAGCGGCTATATGACCGTCGGCATTGGGCCTTAAGGGAACTGCATGGGCCTCTGCTGTGACCCAAAATAAGGATCTCGAATGTCGAAATGGGATCTTCAAAGACAGGTAGGGACCCTCACCTTACCGGCCTGAGGCAGTAGGCACCCAAAAAGCAGTCGGAGTCCCTCAGATGCCGAAATAGGCCCATTTTGCGCCCTCGGAGGCCAGCGCGGGCCCTCATAGGTCGATGTGAGCCCTCTGAAGCCGGTGAGAAACCTCAAAGGCCATCATAAGACTATCGGCCCACTGGCCAGTATGAGACTCAAGGGGCAATTTGGACCTTTGGAGACCGGTGTGGGCCCCAGGGACGTACCCAGGGGGGCGGACGGGGCGCCCCCCCCCCCCATTGGCGTTTCAGGAGGCCCCATTGGCGTTTCATCACGTCAGAGGCGAAAGATATTCACGGGAATAAAAAAAAAAACACGTCAGGACATTCAGGCCCTCTGACCAGCCTGACAGCTAGGGTCCTTCTTACTTCCTTGGGCCTCCTGTGAATAACCGCTATAGTGTCTGTGTCTGACCGCTAGGGCCCCTCTGACTCCTCAGTAGAGAGGAGGCCCTCTATAGGTAGGAGGCCCTCTGTAGAGGAAGCCCTCTGTAGAAAGGAGGCCCTCTGTAGAGAGGAGGCCCCCTGTAGAGAGGAGGCCCATTTAGAGAGGAGGCCCTCTGTAGAGAGGAGACCATCTGTAGAGAGAAGGTTCTATGTAGAGAGGAGGCCCTGTGTAGAGAGAAGGCCCTCTGTGGAAAGCCAAAGGAGACCGCCTGTAAGAAGGCCCTCTGAAGAGAGGAGACCCGCTGTAGAGAGGAGGCCCTCTGAAGAGAGGAGGCCCTCTGTAGAGAGGAGGACTCCCTCAGTAGGGAGGAGGCCCTCTGAAGAAAGGAAACCCTTTGCAGAGATGAGGTCCTCTGTAGAGAGGAGGCTCTTTGAAGAGAGGAGGCCCTCTGAAAGGGAGAGACCCTCAGTAGAGAGGAAGCCCTCTGTAGAGAGGACGCCTTCTGTAGTTGAAAGGCCCTGTGAAAAGAGGAGGCCCGCAGTAGAGAGGTGGTCCTCTGTAGAGAGGAGGCCCCCTCTGTGTTTTGACAAATGTTTTTGCAAATTTTCGCGGCGCTTAGCGCCGCCGATTTATGTACGTACAGGTCAATACGAAATCGTGACTGTCATTACACCAACCAACCGTATCAAATTGAATCAGAACTCATGTGTACTGTGAAGGAACTCCGGCTTGTACTGCCATGCTAAAAGGGTGGTAAATTTGTGTTTTGGAGCTGCATTTTGACAAAAGCATTTGCAAATTTTCTCGGCGCTTCGCGCCGCCGATTCATACACCAATCAATAAGAGAGATCGACTGTAATATCACCAACCGTGTCAAATTGAATCGGAATGCATATGTGTACTGTGAAGGAACTCCGGCTTGTACTAGCATGCTAAAAGGGTTGTAGGTAATATTTGTGTTTTGACAAATGTTTTTTTTTTGCAAATTTTCGCGGCGCTTCGCGCCGCCGGTTCTTACACAGGTCAATAAGAGAGATCGTGACTGTATGCTACCAATGCATTAGGCTAAAAGTGAGGTAACTATATCTACTTCTGGGTTTTTAAGTCGGTCGATCCGCCTCCCCCCCAGTAAAAAATCCGTGGCGACTCCCCTGTATAGGTGGGTTTCACTAACTAAAACTACTTAGCCGAGTGACTTACAACGATAAAACTTCATCTTAGAAACGACGAAGATCAAATGTCATTTGATCTCGACATACTCGCTCCCTACCCCCCCCCCCCCCCGGTCGTCAGAATTCATCCATCACACCCGGCATGTCGGCCGACTTGTGACCCCCCCCCCCAAAACGTTACCCTAGATCCGCCCTTGGGCGAAATTGGGGAACATGACGTCACTAAAACGTCAATTTCTCAAAAATTTTCCGACGGATTTCGCTCACATTTGTAGGGAACGTGTCAAATTGATGTAAGAAAAGGTACTGAATGTTTGGCGGCGCTGCGCGCCGCCGTTTTTGAGATATTGCAAAAATTCGCGAGGGGGGTAAAATTTACCCCCCAGCCCCGCGCGGGTTAACATACAATATAAATAACCTATGTCCTTACTTCGATGATGCGCTGATAGATGCCACGACTCTGAGCGATCTTGATCATTTCGGATGATGGCTCAAGGGCGTCCAGGTTTCTTATGCCGGCGTCGTAGAGCTGCCAGAAGTCTGCAATTGTAATACCACGCCATGCATTTTTGATGTTTACACATCACTTCATAGTGCACACGATCTTATGGCTTTTCGTATCCGGGACATTATGATGCAACATTTTAAGCTCTATCTTACAAAAGAACGTAAAAGTCACGCGTAAAAGGGCAATGCACAAATTAGAAAAACGGGATAAACAATTAATCGCATTTACGATCATTCAATCTTCTATCAACGCAGTGGCAATCAAGTAAAATTACGTCAGGCTTCTATCTTCGCTTCCCAAAAATGAGCTTAAAAAATTATATCACACCTTATGACATTGTAGGCAAATGAGCAAGGACGGTTGCATTAAAAACTGATTTTGTTTTCAGCATTAGATGCGAATCTAATTGCACGCGCATTTACTTTGTTTACGTATCTATCGCGTAGTAACTTTAACCACACTTCTTAAGATCACCTGCGGTCGACCGTGACACTGAGCACTCCTGCCGGCAGTGTCACTCATCCTGACAGAGACACTCGACACTCGGCACTCACCCTCTGTCCGACCAGACCAGTACCCGCGGCGACATCCAGCACCTTCAGCTGACCCCGGGGTACGGCGCCGTCCTCGGGGAACAGATCCAGCACCGCCTCGGTGGCGAACCGGGGTCCCCCGAGCACCTCGACCGGAAACTCCTGCGGGACAGAGACGGCATTTGGTGGCATAACTCATAAATGTCCATGACGGGAGAGTGAACTGACGAATTTATCGTGAAGGCTGGTGGGGTTGGTGTATTACATGGCCGTAAAAATATAAAAATATATTGCAAAAAACACATGTATTGGTGTGGGATGTGCTGCCCAAGGTTGGCACAGCTTTATGCAGTAATAATTTGCATACAAGAGTCGTGCAAGTTCGGTATCGTCTAACGGTACTATGTAGGGACAAAAATAGGATTTAAAACGCCCAGCAAATCTAATGGCAATTTGTGCAATTCTAGTGCAAGAAAAATCAAAATGTTCTACCCAAACCTAAGGTGAGGGTCTAGTTAACCCGTGACCGCCTGGGGGGGTCGGATCCGACCCCCCCCCCTCCGTTTTTCTTGAATAACTCATGAACCACTTGCGCTATCAACTTGAAACTTGGCATACCTTCTCCCCCATCAATTTGACGTCTCCTGTGCAATTTTTAAGAAAAAAATTTCAAATTTTTTTTTTGAGATATATCGATTTTAGTGATGTAACTACATGGCGTTTTCAGTCAAAAAATGGTAAATGTTTAAAAAATCGCCAAAAATCGAGGTTTTAAGCAAATTGCAAATTAAGGACATGAAAAGACGCAGCTCAACGAGTTCTTTAAAATGGCTATCTCGGATTTTCCATAAAATGCGTTTTTTACCCCTAAAAATTCAAAAAACTATATTTTCTGGAAAACAGCTAATAAAATCCAAAATTTTGAGAATTTCCAAAAAACCGGAATATATGTTATAGAGCTCTATTGGAAAATTAGATGTCCAAAATTTCAACTTTCTATCTTGATTTTTGACCCCCAAATTGTAAAAAATAGCTCCAACATGCATAGGGCATGGTGACGTCATAAGCATTTTCGCGAATTAGAGGCACTTCTGAACATCGCATGTGAAAACAAATGGCACCACTAGATTCCTGGGACAAAGCTCGTCTAGAAAAGTGCATTTTTATGTCAAAAATAAAAAGTTGAAAAATTGACTTTTTTCTTAGCCCTCGTTTAGTTATGTATGGTATAAACGATTTTTATGCTTTCAATGCACACTTATCACCAGCACAGTGACTTGGGGTCACATATAACCATTACCATCGGATTTGGCGTGAAAAATAAGCCATAAAACATGTGTCGCACGCCCATGTAGCAGAAAGTGAAAACCGTGACCTTTCGTGACCTGACCTGACCTTGACCCGTACTTAGTATGACCCCTATACGCACATGGTACCTTCACTAGGTCTTTGAGGTCATTTGTGGTGAGTTTCGAGCAGCAGCTATCGATTCCGCTGTCCGTAAGCCTAATCATGCAAAACCCCTGAATTTGACCTTTGACCTGACCTTGACCCGAAAGTTGACCTCAATCTTAAAATCTTAAGAGTGCTTTGGGAAGGTCTCGTAGAGACCTTTCGAACGCCGCCTCGCGGGGCTCGATACGACCATTGGTTCTCGAGATAACAGGGGGGGGGGTCGGATCCGACCCCCCCCCCCCAGGCTGTCGTGGGTACGGAAATAGCCCAGGCGGTGCCGGGTTAAAGTGGTATTCGATTACTGAAGTCAAACAACAAAAGGACACTTTATCTTTCGGCTCGTTGGTGTATGCTCCTTCATAAAACATGACCCGATACATTTCTGTCATACAACATGATTCATTTAGCAATACGTGTTTCGCTGATGAGCTCATGACGAGTGCTACTGTGAAAAGCAAGTGAAAAGCAAGTAAAGAGTGAACTCCCAGCACTCATCACTAGCATGGAAAACTCACTTGCTTCTTTGGACAAATGGTTCTGCGCGAATGCTCTCAAGGTCAACGCGAACAAAACTCAACTCATTGCTTTCGGAAACCGCCAAAATTTGCGCAACCTTCCAAATTTCACAGTCACCTTCCGTGACACAACCCTCGTCCCTTGTAACGAGGTCAAAAATCTGGGTGTAACGTTTGACAAAAACCTGACATGGGACAGTCACGTGGGTGCCGTCACCCGCCGCTGCACTGGGACCCTGATCGGCCTGTCGCACGTGCGACATGTGGTGCCGCGAGGTGTCATCACCTCCCTTGTGACAGCCCTGGTTCTCTCGCAGGTCCGCTACTGCATATCAGTTTATGGTAACGGTACTAAAAAGAACATGGTCAGAGTACAGAAGATCCTAAATTTCGCTGCAAAGGTGATTTTCGGCCGAGGAAAATTTGATCACGTGGCGGACCTGCGGGAGAGGCTGGGCTGGCTCGAGGCCCAGCAGCTGGCCGATCACTCTACACTCTGCCTGGCGCACAGGGTGCTCCGCAGAGGAGAGCCCCACTCACTAGCAGCCGTCCTCCATCGTAATGAGGAGGTACGCCAGCGCGCCACCAGGCAGGACGGTCTGCTCAGTGTGCCGAGGTCGAGGACCGAGGCGGGTAAAAGACGATTCTGTGCTAGAGCGCCGGCGCTGCACAACCAGCTGCCATCCGAACTGGTTTCGCTCAGTGGACAGGGCTTCAAACGCGCTTTAAAACGACGAATGCTGTCTTCTATTACCTGATTTGACGCCGTGTATGAGAGTGTGGATGTGTGTGACTGGTGATATGCATGTTGGTGTGCCGTTGCACATGTAATTTGTATGTATGAGTGAATATTTTTATCCTTTCTACCATGCATGTGACATTGTGACGCGGAGCCAGAAAAGCCACTGCTGCTGTGGAGTGCTCTTTAAATACAAATACAAATACAAATACAAATACAAATACTGGCATCGTTTGTGTGTGTTATACACAGAACGTAAGCAAATGAGACGCTATTACGAGTGCAAGTGATATGAAGGTTGTGTTACCAGTAAATGTTGACCTGGATTTTATAAATACCTCGTCATAGTTGGTGGCGGTCCGGTTGTAGGCCGTGACTGTTTCCTGGACGTCCCTGTGCTGGATCAGCTGGTTGACGAGCCGCGGCTCCTCCTGTCCACCGGACGGCATGGCTGCACGCGCTGAGAGTCGGTCACAATCTGCTCTGAAACGGCCGAGTCACAGCCGCTGCTCGCTCTGAATTCAACCGAGTATCAGTCGCAGCCCGCTTAGATTTCGAGCTAGCTTCAGCGGTAATCGGTCTGGTTCTAACCGAATATAACCACTTTTCGCTTCTGTTTCAGCCCAGTCCAGCCACTGTTCGCTCAGATTTCGATTGAGCTTCAGCCACTACGCACTCTCAGTTACGCCTTTAGTTCTCGCCGTTGGTCAGTACCTCCACGGTCCGATGCAGACGACCGACTGGCGACTAGTGCCGGGTGTTTATAAAGGAGTGCGTGCTCCCCGAGCCAGGCCCCGCTGCCCGAGGTGGCCCGATGACCTCTGCGCTGCGGGCGGGCGTTTGTCCAAGGAGTGGACTTAGCAGCTGGTGTTTTTGATTGATGAATAAAGTAAGCTGTCGTTTATGGTACATAGCGAACTCCCTGACCCTGAAATGGGTCTGGCAAGTCGAAAAGGACTTATGCAGCGGAACAAACAAACAAACTCGTGGTTACGCCCCTGGATGACGAACATTGCACAGATGCATACCGCGGTCTATGACATGCCTTAACAACACTTTCGACCTAAGGTTGACATCAATCTATAGGGCCGATTAAGGTCTGTCTGATGACGATGAATTTGCGATGCGTCGATTGCAAGTACCACAATAGACCCGAGTCGTAATGCCCAGAGATAAGTACATATGCTGAATAAAGACTCATTTGAATTCCAGGTATCCAGCTTACCATGGTTAACTTTCTCTGAGTCGTGATACCCGCCTCTTGCCACTCCGGCTGTCCCTGCCCCTGTACATACATACTCTGCCCCTGTACTCTGGACCGAGACCGCTATATTGGGGAGGCGAGGGGCTGCTTGGCCGGGAAAACAGCTTTGTCAGGTGGATTTAAGCACATACATATGCGGCACTATGTGAACTACTAATATACAACGCCTTGGAAACTAGATGTGTCTCTGTGCCGTATCCATATTTATAAATATTTGACTTGGAACGTGTCGAGAAAGCTTCGCGAGCATTTGATTTGTTTGTAGTGTCATGATGTGATAGATTGTGTTAAACTTTTATAGGCCACTCCTCTACGTATTTACTAGCAAAATACCAGCATATGGTAGTGTCATGCCATACGATAGCAGGAATGTTTCCTCGTCACTGAATTCCTGCAAGTTTGATTTTAGGACTAAGCAGGATTAGGATTACCAGGATTTTTACGTTGTTCATATTTCGAACACACGATAATGTATTCACTCATATTGATTATTGCTGGCACCAATAACGCGGAGCCACACGGGTTTTTCACACCTTGTCCTAGAGCCATAGGAAGGACCACAAACAGTAACACTCTAAGGCACATGGCTTCCGCCAACGCTAAACATATCCCGACTCGCATTAGGGATGGTATGTGTGGCAATGGACGTCCATCATCTGTTTCCGTCAGTGTCAGCGTCTCCCTTATCCTCGCCCTCCTCCGGATCTGACTCTCCCTCCTCTCCCGTGCAGTAGTTGTTGAGCTTCAGATAATTGTTCTCCCGGCCATCGGGGGGCGGTAACGCTGAGGGATCGTTCGGCCCGGACCCCTGCCCTGGCAGCGTCTCGAGCGAGTCGGTCGGCAGGTCGGGCGCCTCTGCGACCTCGACCTCCTCGACAGAGTCGTTACGAACGTCCAGCCTCGCTCGGCCCGGCTCCGACCCGTCATTGTCGCCATCTCCCGGGGTACTCGACTGCAGGTCCTCCTCGTCAGCGTCAGCTGCCTCATCACTGTCACTCGCCCCATCGTCACCGTCACTGTCACCCGCGTCCTCCGCCCGCGGTTCAGACGGAGGAGCACTGTCCCCCTCCGGCTGGACCCCGGACTCGGCCACTGGGTCCTCGCGCTGGGTATCAAGGTCCGCGTCCGCCACATTGTCCCTGCGCTGTTCCTCAGAGTTCGACCCATCCTCATGCTGCCCCTCAGCGCCCGCCACGTCCCTCTGTTGTCCCTCGGAGCCTGCTGCGTCCCTCTGCTGTCCCTCAGCGCCCCCTTCAGCGTCCTTTGTCCGTTCCTCCGCATCAGCAGCCGGCGGCCGACCGTCGTCAACACTGCGTGACCTCGCGGTCTCTGGTCCGACGCTCGGTGGGGTGCCCGGCTTGAGTACCACCGGCTCGATGACCTCGTAGGTCCTCTGACGCACCAGGCGTTTGGGGATGGCCGGCAGCGGCTCGTACTTGGATGGCAGTTGGCCGGCGGGCGGGACCGGCGCGGCGACAGCCACCGGGTCGTCGTCACTGCGAGAACCTCCCGAGGAGGCGCGGGAGAGCGGCTGCAGCGAGGTGAAGCTCACCGGCCGGGAGAGGTGCGCCGGCGGCAGCCGCGGCCGGCCGCTGGTAGCGCGCACCGACGGCAGGTGCGCCATGGTTGGCCGCCGGCGCGTCACCGTCGCCGCCGGCGCAGCGGGCGCAGGCGCGGTCTGCAACACGCGGACGTGACAGAAATCACACACTGTTGTCGATATTGATCGGAGGCCCTGGCAACCAGTCGGACCCGGTGGCGGTGGTTTGTGGCGACCGCGATAGAAACAGGTCCTTTATTCACGGACTCAGGACTATGTACGTTTGCCGACAATTAATTTAGTTATTGGCAGACAGACACGAGACTATTTCTGCACAACACGACAATGGCAATGTCATTCTACGAAACTGTCAAAGGAGCTTTCGTGTCGTGTGTGGCTGAGACTGGCCTTGACATTGTATTTTAGTTTGAGTGGTAAACGGGTTTTCGAGCGTCTTAGACTGCAAAAACGTTCTAAATGTCTGAAATTCCTGTCACGTAGACACGAGGTCACTGCCAGTTACAACTAAGATCAATCAATCTGACAATCAAACAACTAATCGAACAATCGAACCAGCGGAGTCCTAAAAGCGACGTTCTAGTTTCTAATCTTGTTCGGACAGCTGAACCAGTTTGGCATTGTTAGCAGGTGCGCGCAGCCGATATGATACAAAATCATGATTTATGCATTAGTTCGTTGAGAAATGACAGAAGCCGGACACTTGATAGAATGTTTGCATCAGCTTTTTTTTTGTTATTTCATTTACTCCAGGCTCGGAACCAGATTCAGGTCCACTGTTTCATGAAGCAGCCTTTATTCATGACTAGACTGAGTAATAACATGTGTTGGTATTACGATTGCTCATTTCTGAGCGCAATTCGCTCAATGCATTTTTAGGCTTTAGAAAAAAAGCTAGCAGATGATAATGGCGCGAACACTTCAGTGACTTCCCAGCAGCGTAGCGGCTGTTGCTCGTAGATGTAAGAGGTGCTTATTAGATGCTTATTGTGCTTATTGTAGATGCTAAGAGGCTGAGAGAAATTGGCAAGTGCAGGGATTGAATTATGGAAATTGTAACTTGAAGATTGGGATAAGAAAGTGCTACACAGTATCACGCAAATGTGACGATATCACGACATAGTGGCCTGACGGCCAAACGCGCCAGCGGCGCAGATCTGTTCTCTAAACATTCGAGCATGCTGATACCTACCGCGCACCTCCCTTCTGCGACAAATGACGAATCTCTGCGCGATCTGGTTCATACCAGATATGTGTTGTGTTTCAGCTAACCACCATTGTGTGCCTCAGCTAAATAGGTATACAACCTGGTGCTTGATTATACTATAGCACTTGGTACAATCGGTGCACGAGAACTTTTGACGCGTGTTGTGAACTCTCTTCAGTGATATGCTGCAGATGGTGCCTAAGATGACGAATGTTCAGTTGTAACTGGTATAACTGGTATATTTCATGGCTCACTATGACTGGACTGGTAAGTCAGGGCAACGGTAGTTTGTTAATTTGACATACGAGTCTTGGTCACTCTCTAGCTCTTTGTATTTGTTCCTTTTACCATCTCCATATCTACATATCTCTTTCCCCGCTTGCGTCTCCCTTTCCCCTCCCTCTTCCCCCTCCCTCTTCCCCCTCTCTTCCCTCTCTCTCTCTCTCTCTTTCTCTTTCCCTTTCCCTCTCCCTCCCCCTCTCTCTTTCTCTCATTCTTTCCCTATACTTTCTCTCTCCTTTGCACTCTCCCTCTCCTTTTTAGCCGTCACCCTCTTCACTCCTCTCCATCGCTCTACTTTTCTTCTCCCCATCAGTCTATTCGCCACCCTCACCGTCTCCGTACCATTTGTCATCTCCATCATTAATGACGGGTATAACTCAAATCAAGTTGTCCCACAGCTTATGCCGTTACACTGATTGGCGTAGTTGATTACATGCATTCGCGTTATCTTTTCTGATGTTTGCAACGTAATGATGCTGTTGACGCCTAGGTATACGGGCAAAACGTGTCTCACTTCTGCAGTTCTGAGCATGTTAGGTCGCTGCAGTCAATCAGTACCTATATCCAATACTTGCCTACTGGTAATACCAATACTGAACACTGAAAAACATCCCATCTAACAGACATGCATGCATTACGTAATTCAATGTATGTACTGTCATAGCAATCCCCCGTCAACCACCAGCCCCACCGACCGGTCACCACGCGGAGCCGAGGACCTCCCTGCACTCCCACCCACCTCTCTCCCCCCCCTCTCTCTCTCTCTCTCTCTCTCTCTCTCTCTCTCTCTCTCTCTCTTTCCCCGCAGATTACGTACCGTGAGTGGGCGGTGGCCATGGTCGCTCAGGACGGGGAGGAGGCATGTGCCCTCGCCTCTGCGGTGCTCCAGCAGCTGCGTCGAGTCGCTCTCCACTTCTAGCGGGGTGCCGCCTCACCGGGGCCGGCTCTCGTGCGAGGATCGATCGTCGCTGCACCGGTCCGTCGAGCGTCGCCCCTCGACACAGACACACAGACACGACACCGGCGCTCGTAGCAACGGCCGACAACACAACGACGACGTCGACGCAGGGGTGGCCGACGAACCGGTGGTGGTCCCTCCCTCCCCGCCGCCGTAGGCTGCCCACCTGTCGTGCGCGGCGGGACGGTAGCGATGCCGGGCGGAGCTGGCCTTGACATTCGCGCAGTATGACGTCATTATTCCGTGACTGCCTTCTGTAGGTTCTTATTGTGGGCGCTTGTTAGGACTGGGAAGATCGGGTGGCCGATTCTTATGCAGATGCTTTGATTGCGTTCAGTGAAAATACGAATGAATATAAGACAGACAGACAGACAGACAGACAGACAGACAGACGTTTATTCGGAGTCTCCATACGAATTATGTCTCCATACGAATAAGAATTATGTCAGGAGTATAAAGATAATATCTCCAAATGAAAGAAGCAACGACACGTGTTGCTTTGTCTTTTATCATGAAATAATTGTTGAGGTGTTTCGATCTCGTGGATGGTCCCATGTTGGATGCAATACGCAGTGTCACGGACCAATTGTCCTCAAAGTCCCAGCAAAAGAGAGTGTATTTCGTCGTTGCTGAGCTCCTGCCCTATCAGATGGTCACATAATGACCTGCCGTCCCTTGGGCGGGCTAAAACCCACTACATGGATTAGCAAGTAATCCCTGCTAGAAAAGCAATGGCCCTGCACCAGTGAGCCTTATTTGGTCCGATTACAAGTGGCTACGAGTCGATGACTTGCTGCTACTTAACCAGCCATTAAATAGTTAGTTTTCACTGCCGCACTGTTTCAAGTGCGTCCCTTGCGTCGCCCGCATCAGCACGATGAGCCTCTTGACCTGTGGAGTGCTGACCTCCAAGGTTCAGCCATTGCTATTTCCAGCTGTCAGATACTTTACTTTGGAGTTTTGTAAAGCGTTTACCTCCTTCCTGCTGGCTGCGTTTATGACCAAGGATCACTATATAACTGAGAGTGGACAGAACAGACTCTTGCTAGTAAAAAAGAAATGCAGTTAGGAGCTATGTACAATTGGCATTGCTATACTGTCCTGCGCACCATGGTGCACTGCCACTGTAATAAACAAAGCTTCTTGTGCAAGTGACTGATGTTTTATCAATTACGCTGCAGTGTGTAATGTTCTTGGTGTATTTTTCGCGATGCTGTGCTGTTTTATTGCATAAGAAGCACAACAATAGACACGCTAGCGATTGGTGCTGTGCTTAATCACGATATTTTCTTCCTTAGCCTATGTAGGTTCCAACATCAACACGATGGTGATCACTTATCAACCTGACCTCACAGATATCAGATATGTCATGTCAGCGGCATATTGCTTGGTTTCGATCTGATTGAAAATGTATGCATCTAAACCGACCGGCATGCCAATGAGCTGATTGCTCATTACTATGTACTGGATAAATTTTCCCTCCTCCTAAATCGTATTGCATCATCGTCAGAAATCCGTGGACGGAAAATTCCCACGCCTGGATCGTGTGACCTTTGAAATGGCGCCGGCCGCTGACCAATCGGGTCTGCTTTGTGTCCGAGACCTGCTGGTTCGCTGACTGTGGCGTGATAACGGCCTGCGGCGAATGTCACGCGCCATTTGTTTATGTTTGCAAGTGTGTCAGCTGCGCCAGAAATGTGCTCCGCTGACCTTCTCCTCCGGAGCGAGATGGCTGCTTTGGGAGCGGAGCAGGCTCTCTGGCTATGTATGTGAATAGACCCAGAGGACGGGTGTGGTCTGTAAACTATTGCGAAACAACTAGAGAGGCCATCGCAGTGACGATTACGAAATACTGTTGGAGACAGGTGTAGTGACATTGAAGATCGGACAATAAACTGAGCGACATCTATACGGCTATACCGAGTGCCTTACCAGAAAGGATAAGCAGTTAGCTTGTTTCACCTTTTTATTCCTGTGGCATATAATTCAGTTTATTATTTGGCTTTCGCTCTTTATCAGCAGTCAAGCTTTCCTTCTTGTTTATTCCCTGCGAATGACAATATATGGGTCCCAGTCTATGTCTCATTGCCACTGCCAGTAACGTGGGATGAACTCTACTACACTACTAACTATGGATTAGCTCTAACTCTACTCTTCTATGAGCTCCAATAATTATACAAACACATACAATACATATAAGAATGTGTAGGATGCAAATGACAACAATTATGTTTTTGAGTAAGGCAATGGCCCCGTTGACTCGTTGCCTTCCACCCGGAGGTGGAGGATGAAACACTTGCATCATGATATATCGTCATTCCACTGTCATTGTCAGGAAACTTGATTCATGCGAGTATCACAATTGCATTTGGCATCAGTGTTTTGTTCACCGTCAGGTTTTGGATGTCAGCCCGGAGCGCAGCGCCCTCACTAACTCGTAGTTGGCTGGCCCCTCCACCAGTGAGGTTAGTTTCGTATCGTGCCCGTTTGTACCAGAGGCTATGCTCCCACCGAGGCTGGGTGTACCCGTGGACCGTCTTTGAGTCTTAGAAATAAATCTTCTAAGGAATACAAGTGATAAGATGCCTTGGTAAGCTCATCGTGTTTGAAATAAACTACAACATAGCTGCAGCCGCAGCATTTTAATTTTGGTGCTTGATATTGATTTTCAAGAACCGAAAGACAATCCTTATCAGGATGTTCGACGATTTTTTTCCTTGTAAGAGGTGATGGCAGTTCATGTACAGAACACAGTCGGTACGTTTTCGTCCAGTCAGTGTCCTTTTCCGTGCTGTCGGCCATTCCCGCCCACAATAAATGCTCCCGTCAGTTAGCGGTTGTGTGGGGACAGTCGAGTCCCCGTTCGTCGGCTCGTGCCGGCATTGTATCACCGGGAAGTGTCCTCTGTCCCGGTTGTATAGGGGAGAGCCGCCACACGCTCCTACTGTGGGGGTGGTGCCAGCTCCGCCGCGTCGCGACGCACTATCTCCCCGCCGCCTTTGTTGTACCTACCGCATTGAGCAAGTTTAATTTCCTATGGGCACTTTTGTGCGGACGCATCCTCCACATTATCAGTCCCAGCGTCGCCTTTGTTGGTGGGCCACTGCTTTGTGGGGACGCGCTCCCCCTTTTGTTGGCGTTCTATACGTCTTTTTGCCGTCGAGTCGCAAGCGCCGCTTGAACAATACTGGCGCCGGCGACGGGACAATGGTGCTGCGCCCGTCGGTGGCGTCGCCGGCGCCGCGCCGATCTCGACACGTCGGGGTCGACGCCGCCGTCGGTCCCGACGGGCCGCGCCGGGACTGCGCCGCCCGGCGGCTGACTTCGGCGGCGGGCTCGACGACAGGTGCCGCTCAGCGCAGGTGTGACCAGCGGCGGAGGAGGGGCCCGGCGCCGGGTTCGAAATTTAAGACCGGACATGATCCCAGGTTATCCGAGCTGCTGCGGGCTAAAGGATACTGATGCTCCGCTGCACCGTGACCTCAATCCTCAACTTCACTAGAACCGGCTGAAAATGACCCTGGACGGCGGCGGCGCAAACGACACTATTGTCGAATTATTTGGCCAAAATGAATTAATAAACATGTGTCACATGCCATGACCTTAAAATTTTATGCCTTAATTTTCATATGCCTTAAAATTTTCGTGACATCTTTTACATATCCTGAACGATAGTTTCGACCTTAAACATTAAGTATAAATTGAGCTCAATATTACTCGTTAGTGGGCGATAGAGCCCGGGTTTGGAATATTATCATATGTATATGGATAGTTTTCTACTTAGACCTAACCTGTTAAGTCATCAGTGACCTTCAGGTCAACAAAAATAGATTTCGGTCTACAGCTCTCCTATAAATCACTGTTTTAATTTTTAGAATCTACCCAATAATTTCGCAGATAATGGGGGTTGTTAACCCCCTCAGGCACCTTGCGCCCTGAAATGCTTCCACATATGTAAGCATACCCCAGTCATGTCCGGAACTAAGTTCAAATACGTAGTTCGCGAATACCTTGAATTCATGAAAATGGCTATAGGGTCTACATATTGTGATGCCTACCCATGAAAAATGTAACGATTAATTTAAATACTACCAGTCTCAGTACCTGTTACGAGATGCCTTGTAGGAACGCAATCCATTCTCCCCCCCCCCCCCCCCTCCTCTACATTTAGTTCCCTGATCTTGTTGATCCCTCCCACGACTCCCACCGGACACCAGGTCTGCGGACCCCCTCCCCCTCCCCGCCCCCTCTCCGACACCCCATCTCGTCGGTAGTCCGTCGGTCCCGACTCCCCGTCCGGGAGCGCGGCGCGCCAGAGTCGTGTCCGACGGCACCCCGGGCGGCGACGGGGTCGGACCGGTGGGGTCTGTGGCGAGGCCGAATCGACGGCGGCCTGTGTGCGTTCAGAAATAGTGAACTAATGTGTGATATTGATGCCTGAGACTAAGCTGGTGCCTTTCGGTAAAGTGTGGTCATAGCGCAAGTGACATCACATTGTGTGATCAAGTGATACTGCGACTTACATTATTATGCCAATGCATCACGGTGCGTTTGGTGATCGGACGAACGCGACGGAGTGGTTCGACATATTGCAGAATTGCGGACAAGAACTGCATCGTCTGTGCCGTTATGCTTGTCGACGGCGATTTGATGGCGGTGCCACTATCTCGTTACGCAGGTGTACAGCGGAATGGAAAGCCTTGTTCAGTGTTTCTGCTGAGAAGTCAGTGCAGTGGCTCAGCGCCAACGGTGGCACGTAGTGGAGTGCATCGTGTCGTTGGCGGGTAACGAACTACGCAGACGCAGGAGATGAACTACACCAGCCACCCGCGGTGAGTGTTATTTCGGGGGGAGGGCAGCCCAGAGCAGCCCCGGCGGGCTGCTGCCATTTCCGTCACAACTCCTTTACCCGGGACATCCTTCAGTGGTGACTGGGCAGTGTTGGCTGCTGACTGACCATATGAACCTCGTAGAAACTAATTGAGTTCCAATTAACTTTGCATCGC